ATTGCTAACAGTCTATGAATAACATTTTTTCCTTAAGTATAATTAGAAGGATACCATCAAGACCTGGAGCTTTGTTGATTTCAAGGTCTTGTAATACTTCTCCTGTTGTCTTGATTCTGCATGTGGCATGTTGTCATCTTCTTGGTGAACAGCTGAGTGCAATAGTCATATACCATGTGAGCCATTTCCCTTTCATAAGGTTTTCCATCATTATCTCTTGTGTCCTTTGCCCTTTAGTTGCCGTGGTAATACTGAGAACATTGCAATGGTGGCTACAATTATTTTTTAACTCTCTTTTGGCCTTTCTATTTTTTTTACCCATACTGCAGTTTGTTGTGCTGACTTTTCTTAGCCGAGTCTCCTTCTTTTATCATTTTAGAAAGTGCTTTATTTCCCCTTGCTTTTCTTAATTGATTAATTAAACCATCTGCAGTTTCCTACTGTAACCCTAACCTCCAAGAGACTGAGGTCTGCAAGTCAGGGGGCATTGGAAAACTCCAGGTTTCTCAGACTAAAGTGAATTCCAGTCAACTTCATAATTATTACTGAACTAAGGTAGCAACAAAGACCTGGAGTTGGTGCTTTATGCAGACAAATAATTAAACTATTTATTTTGCTGTTTTAGCACTCTGCTGACTGGTGAGTGTTTGAGAGAAAGTTTCCTTTGTCCTGTGAACAAAGTTAACTCCTATCAAAAGGGAAAGACAGCTAGGAAATAAAGGTGATAAAACCTCTGTTATTTTTGTCAAAAGAATTATTTTTTTTGTCTTTCAGGAGAGGTCTTTGACTACCTAGTTGCACATGGAAGAATGAAGGAAAAGGAGGCCAGAGCTAAATTTAGACAGGTACTGCAGTGTGCTCATTTTAAATCTTCCCAGCCATATTTCTTTATTGCATTTCAACCCTACAGCTCTGGGTTAGAAGATGGGAAGATGCAAATCATTATTTTTGTTTAAACATGAAGCAGACTCATCAGAAAGCCCTTGGAATTTAGTGCAGGTATATACAAAGGCTCTCCTTATAATATCTCTTTTTCTCCTTATATTTGCCCTTATTTTAGGTAGTTGGACTGGCAAAAGGTGGCATAACTATAGGTCTCTTAGTCCCTGAATAAGTCCAAGAGTTATTCCATTGGCTTGTGTTAGCTTGGATTAGTTTGTTTTCTTGATGAGGCACAACTTTCCAAGCAAAGATGCACACACCTCTCAGCTTCATGATTAGAAAGACGGATTTGTTTTTTTAATGTGTATTGATAAGATGTGGTGTATTTCATATCACTTCAAAACTTCTAAATTTCCATGGAGCACAAGAGGTCACCATTACAAGAAGTCACACTGCTGTTGAGCTTTCTTCCTTTTCTACATACAGATATGGTTAAAGTATTTAATTGTATTATTAGCTCACGCCTTAAGTTATTTATAGATCTATGACTGAAAACTTCCAAAGCTGTTGGTTGGGAGTAGACCTGCCCTAGAAGCACCATCCAGAAAAATACATTCTATGGTGTAGCAGCCAGCTTCTAGAAAAATAAAGGATTCAGTAGTAGACCTCTATCTTAAACCCTAAGATCTGTAGATCCTTCCTAGAGTTTTTTTTTTAAAACAACAAATCCTCAAAGTAGCTCTGCAAGATTTAGGTGATGCAGCTTTTCCAGCTCCTCCCTCATCTCCCCTCACCCCAAGTGTTGCAGTCCAGCTCTTAGTTTTTCCAAGACACAGAATTCTGGGTCAGCTGGAAAATGCTGCAAGAAGATCTTCCAGGTAGTTCAATGTTTCTGTGTTTTGGGATGAGCAAGATTTTCTCTTGTCTGGCTTCTGACCACATGCTTCACTGCCTCATTTTTGCATTAAAATTGTTCAAGACGTTCGTGGGCTTCAGTCCGGTTTTCCCGCTTGGAAGTGTTTGCAGCAAAGAAGTGCAGTGGAAGATGTTGCAGTCATTTGCTCTCTTTCACCGGGTCCTGTTACAGAGCTTCAGATAATCCCCGATTATGAAGATGTCAGTGTTTCCAGCAGTGAACTAAAAGGAAAAATGAGCTTCCAACCACTGTAACAAAGCAAGAGTCTTAAGCATTGCCACAGTCTGTTCAATGATGACAAAAAACGACAGTGCTTTGACAAAATTAGTAATTCCTCCTTAGGGGTTAATAATAATACGTTATTCTAGGTTAGCAAGGTGTTAGTTTTGCTCACAGGTTTTAGGTTGTTCATCTGATACTGTTTTCAATTTCTCCCAACAACTCAAACAGTTGTTTTTTGACTGACCCTTTTTTTTTTGTTTAAAAGGCAAAATGACTCAGGGATTGAGTTTTACAGAATCTGTTTATGAGAATGGGAATTTAGTGTAGCTGTGTATAACATGCAAATCTGGCACGAGAAAGCTTAAACACAGGGTCCAGTGCAGTTTAATCAATTATTGATTTCTGGCAACATAAAAGCCAAAGTGCTCATCCTGACTAATATGTTTTGGGGGATACATTTTGTGGAGACAGCCATTAACATTTTGATTAGAGGCTGTTAAAACGACATTCTTTTTGGGATCATTTAAATCAGTTTTCTGTCGCCCCCTTGGCAGAATTAACACATGAGATCCACATTCAAAACACTGCTCCAAGTGAATTTGAAGTTCATTAAGTTAATGAAACTTGTCTTCTCCCTTTGTGTTTTGTTCAGATTGTGTCTGCGGTGCAGTACTGTCATCAGAAGCACATAGTTCACAGAGACTTGAAGGTGGGTAGAGTGGAGTTGGTTTGGATACTTGCAACCTTTGTGCTTCCCTGCAGTTGCTTTCAAAAGAACACAGTACCCGCTGTCTCCCTCCATCCCTCTTCCAATTTCATCCCGAAGGGTGTTTGTATTGTAAGCTTATGAAATATTCAGAACGCTGTCTCTTTTAATGCATTGGTCATTCACGTGGTAAGACCTGATTAAATGTGTTTCACGGGAAAGCCTGCAAAGACTGTTCTCAATCCCATGGAACCCGGGGATGATTCACAGGTTTGTAGAAGATGACCCCCCCCCTGCCTGTCGCAAGCCACATGTCAGGGACGGAAAGAACAACCTGTTGGGTCTCAGTTCAGTCTGTCCCATAGCTGTTTTGAATTTATAACTTGCATTTTGGGGGGGGGGGTCATTCTTTGCATTGCAATCAGTCGGCAAACTGTGATTTTTGTTTGACTCGGGGAATCTGTGAAGGCACCTTTGATGACAGATGAACTAGATGATAAACACGCTGGTGTGGCCCTGTGATGGGCTGGCGTCTTGCCTGGGGTGTGCCCAGACTTTCCCTGAACTGGGAGAAGTGGTTAGAAAATGGATGGGTGGTAAATAAACAAATATCCAGCTCAAAGCAAAAAACGCTGAAGGTGTTGAACTCCATAAAACACCAGCCATCAGTCGTGTGTCTGTGTAGCATACATTTCTACTACTGTGTATGCGTTTTTAAGCTACACGGGCTTCTGTAATGGCAGCTCAGTTCCCGTCTGCTGTTGAGTGGACTCGTCTGCTGTTGGCGCTTGATCCGCAGAACTGGATCTTTGCGACTGGGGGGCGGGGAGGGCGGCACGGCTGAAAATTCCTCGTCTGTGTCCCGCGGGATGGCCTTTTTTGCTGTTGTTTTTCACTGTGGCCTCTGCCCTTTGACCCCAACCCCCCCCCCCGCAGGCGGAAAACCTGCTCCTGGACGCGGACATGAATATTAAAATTGCCGACTTCGGCTTCAGCAACGAGTTTACGCTGGGCAACAAACTGGACACTTTCTGCGGGAGCCCCCCCTACGCTGCGCCTGAGCTCTTCCAGGGCAAGAAGTACGACGGGCCGGAGGTGGACGTCTGGAGCCTGGGCGTCATCCTCTACACCCTCGTGAGCGGCTCGCTGCCCTTCGACGGCCAGAACCTGAAAGTAAGGGGTGGGGAGGGGGGCCTGTTTAGTCATTAATAATGGCTTACATTTATATAGCGATTTTCTGGACACGCCACGCAGAGCGCTTTACGGGTAACGGGGAATCCCACAACCACCACCAGTGTGTAGCCCCCACTTGAACGGTGCAAGGGCAGCCATAGTGCACCAGTCCGCTCCCCACACACCAGCTCTCAGTGGGGAGGAGAGCAGGGTGACGAAGCCAGTGCAGACAGGCAGGTTTTATTAGGAAGCCGTGACTGGTAAAGGCCAATGGGCTGTCTGAAGAGGAGAAGGAGTTAATGGTCAGTCGCCTTGTAACATCTATTTGCAGCCTTTTTGAGTGGGAAAAAACATACCTATGGAGTTGAGCGTCACCTTGCACGCCTGAGTTAAATCATTCTGGGAGAGAAAGGGAATCAAAGGCAGAAATTTCAAAACTGCCCCCACTCTGCGTTATTTTAAGCAGAGTGCTTCTTAAGAAAAATGTCTAAGGAGAGAGAGAGCTGAACTCTGGTGGTGTGAGTGGTGAAGTATAGACCGGATTAAAACTGCAGGGCTGAAACAAGGTAACTTGTTGCTATGAGTCTTTTCCAGAGTGCCTTGTATTGGTAAAGTCTAGCCTCTGCTGTTTTTGCAAAGCAGAATGTCGTTCTAGTGTGAATACCGGCACTGAAGCACAAACCAGACAATTGTAACCAAATCCTAAAATCGCTGGACCAGTTGCTAATCAGTTTGGGTACAGAATAGGACTCGACTGTCTCTGGTCTTTTAGTAAAATACAGTGAGTTGAGAGTTTGAAATCCTCAGAGTACATTGTAACCTGGCACATAGATTATTTTGTTAACACATTGTACAGTGTGAGAAAGGTGGATTTTTATGTTTTGTTTTGTGTGGCCCAGTAAAATGTTGCCGGGAAGTTCTTAAGACATTCCGACTAGACTACAGAAGGATAGCAAACTAATGTTGTCAACACGTCTTCCGAGCGGAGTTGTAAGTCACGTGCAAAACCTTAAAGTATACCCTAATCTTTAAGGAAGTGCAAGAGACATTCAGGTGTTTCAGGTCGTCTCCAGTCAGAATGTGCGGCCCATGGTTCTGAAGTTTGACCAGAGCTTGGATGTGAAGGTCAAAGTGCAAGCGTGGTCTTTCTCCTTATTGGCAGGTTGGAGTGTGCCCTCCCCCGCCTCTGTCCAATCCCTGCCTTTCTCTCCTTGTTTGCAGGAGCTGAGGGAACGCGTGCTGAGAGGAAAGTACCGGATTCCTTTCTATATGTCGACAGACTGTGAAAACCTCCTCAAACGCTTCCTGGTGCTAAACCCATCCAAAAGGGGTACACTTGAGGTGAGAGAAGACAGTGAAAATGTAAATATTTTAGTTATTACTTAACTCTCCCTACACGCCCCACCTGTCCTGTGTAAGTGTAGTAGCCAGTGTCTCATTAGTGCTGTAGAACCCTGGCCTGAAGCTCATCGTGTTGTGTGCAGAGCTGTAGACATCTGGAAGATGGGCTTTCTCATCTTAAAATGTGATGTTCCAGCACCACCATTTGGTCATTTTACAATGTAATTAAAAACTAGAACTACAAAGCTGCATCTGACCACTGATTTTCTGAATTGTTGCAGCGCTGTGTTGTAATCTACATGTGCATGCTTGCATGTTTTTGTACATATTTACGTAACTAAAATGCCTTCTTTATTTAAGAGTTTGAAGAGCACGTAAATCTAAATAAAGCAAAGACTTTTCTGTCAACTGATTTCTTCATCTGTTGCAAAAATATTTGTGTGTTTTCATCTGTTCTGCTTTAATTAAAGAGTATTTTGCCAGATACAGTATCTTTCAGGTTATAAGAGATGAATGAATATGAAGTGTCTCTATCGTAGGGCATGTTGCAATGGGGTTGTCTGTAATGGTTATCTTTTTTAGCAAATTATGAAGGACCGGTGGATCAATGCAGGCAGTGAAGAAGATGAACTAAAGCCTTTTGTGGAACCTGACCTGGATATTTCAGATCAGAAGAGAATAGGTACTTGCATCCAAACGTTACAGTGTGATTAGTCGTGGTATGTGCTGTAAATAGTATTATTCCCTCGTTGGCTGGTATCACTGCTTTCTAAATGTTGTGGTACTGCAAGTTATAGGTCATATGCTGCTCATTGGTAAGTTTTCCACGCTGAGTTATTTTGAGGTACGAACAGGAGAGGATTACAAAAGCCTCCAATAAAAATAGTCATAAAAAAGCTGCAATTTTCATTTGTAATTTTAAATTCTAATATTATATTACACAATTTTATGAATGTAGTGAAACAGTTTTAGCCCAGAAAGATTACATTAGGCTTTTGTGGGCTATATCTCACCATAGCTTGATAAACCCAACCCTAGGACATGTTTTTAAAGGAGTGGCCTGAAAGTAACTCTGTCCGTATGGACGTGACAAATTAAAGCCAATTGCATTCTCACAGAAGAAGTGTGTAATGAGGTTTGAAGTGCTCTGCAGGAGCACCTTCTAGTTTTTCCTTTGTGCTGTTGAAAGTTAAATGCACACACTCCTTGCTGGCATGTTTTTCTCCCCCATGAGGGTGGCTTTACCAGTGGCTGTGCTTGAGGTTGCTGCTGGCGTTTTGGTACAGAGATGGCAATGGATTGCTTTAATGTGCAGCCTGTAATGTTTTGCTCTGGGCTGCCTGTGATAGTGTTGTCCTTAAAATGAACTATCGACTGAAGAGAAAGTGTCAGTGTGGTTTGCTTCAGTCAGTATTTGCACAGGGCTTATTGTAGCCACTATGCAAATGGCAAAGGTTCCCTTCCTAAGGTGTGATGATGACCCTACAAGGGAAGGCATTGAAGAAAAAGTTGCATTGGGAAAAAAAAAGTGAACTTTTACACACAGTGAACACAATAGGCCCCCAAGTGACTGGATAAAGCAGCAGAGACACTCTTTCAGAGCCCAGGCTGCGCACTGCAGTCTAGCTCTCATCGGTCTAAGTCTGGGCTGCTCTGCCCAAGGGACCTGCAGTCCGTGGTACAGAGTTAACGCTGGCAGAGCTTGGCTGGGTCCAGTCCAGTTCATTTGTCATCTGCACTAGTGCGATGAGATGCTTATTTGCATGTATGCTCCTGTACAAAGACATTAAAGGAATCACCATAAACACAGAACAGCAGTTTTTAAACGTTTTTTTTTTTTTAAATCAGACAAGCAGCGTGAGAAAAAAGGCCCATCAGTGTGAGTCGGGGGTAGGGGTAGAGTTCAGAAATGTGACAGCCCGTGGGAAGCAGTGGGTAACCCTGTGGCCTGCCCAGTACCTGTGAGCCGCCATTGCCTGTGAGTGCACTGCTCCTCCAGCTGTCCCTCAGGTGTCCTGTAGGGGTGCGCTCATGATTCTTCTCGGTCCTGTGCTTTTATAACGGGTGTAGGGGGTTACTTAGTTGATCAACAATTGTCGAATCCCAATTGGGGGGTGGGAAAAAAGATTTAAAAAAAAGCTTTAAATACCTGCCTTAAAAAAATCGACTTGGTAACAGAATATTTGTGATTTTCTCATGCACAGGGTGTACAATAAAAGGACCACTTTGTGTTCTCTTGTGTGATATCTGCCTGGCTGAGAATCTATTTGTGGTTTGCTTTGCAGATATAATGGTTGGAATGGGTTACTCTCGTGAAGAAATTCACGAGTCTCTTGCCCGGATGAAATATGATGAAATAACAGCCACTTACTTGCTGCTGGGAAGGAAGTCCTCAGAGGTAAGGCTTGAGGGCCTCATGTATTAATGATGGTTATAAATGTTCATCTTTAGCATCATGCTAGAGCCCTGTGTATGCAGCATTCAGCCTGCTCGGAGAAACGCAAGGCTTTTAATCCTTCTGGTGGTGTAGCCCTGCTCTCATGCTAATTAGGCTGGCTTTCTTCCTGGGGCGTCACTTGCACCATTGAGCAGAGTATCCAAGATGCCAAACTGCTTGATTTCATGCATACTGTATAATGATAACTGTAATTGTTTATTATAGGGTTTCTAAAAAATTCCCTCTTTTGCTTGATGCTTTTGCACAAAGCTGTGCCTTTTTTGTGCTTCGCTCTGGCTTTTATTTCCGTTCCGAAGAGACAGCCCTGTGACACCTCACGGCTCTTTCTCAAGGGAGTGTTTATTAAAAACCCGAAAAGGGAGGCATATTCATAGACATTCGGAAGAGGTGACAGCTGCGGTCTTGCAGAGCTGCGCACGGTTGATATTTATTCTGTTATTTTTTCCCACTTGCAGTTGGAGGCGAGTGATTCCAGCTCCAGCAGCAATCTTTCCTTGGCCAAAGTCAGGCCTAGCAGCGAGCTGAACAACGGCACGGGGCAGTCTCCCTCCCATCACAAGGTCCAGAGGAGCATATCGTCCAGCCAGAAGCAGAGGCGGTACAGCGATCAGGGTGAGTGTTGTACCCCTGGGCCCTGCACTAAACCGCCCCTCTGTTCACGCTTTCCTGTGGAGGGGAGGTTTGGGTGTGAGCAGTGGCCCAGTCCCTGAGCTGGGATTAAAACCAGATTTGATTGACCTCTCCCTCCCTCTCCCTCTCCCTCCCCCTCCCTCTCTCCGTTCATTCTGCCCTCCTCCCCAGCCGGCCCCTCCGTTCCCTCTGGGGCGAGCTACCCCAAGAGGAGTCAGACGAGCACCACCGACAACGACCTGAAGGAGGAAGGGGTCCAGCCCAGGAAGTCGAGCAGCAGTGCGGCGGGGGGGCGGGGCGTTGCCCCCCCGAGCCCCATGCTGGGCAACGCTAGCAACCCCAACAAGGCCGATATTCCCGACCGCAAAAAGGGCTCCGCCGCCCCCAGCGTGAGTGTACCCCTCTGTAAAACTCCTGGGCGTCTCGGTGGGGGAGTTCCATGGTTTTCTGTAGAGACACTTGCATCCCTGCATGAAGAGCAGCTGCCATGCTTTCTGATTGGCCTTAGGTATTGGTATAAGTATGCTTTCTGTTTGACTTGTCTGGGGTTATTTTTAAAAGAGGACCAATATTTCAGAGTATCTTGCGGGTGAGGTGTTGCCTTTCATGCAGCGATTGTTTGGTCTGAGCGATCCGTCTTAATCGACGTCTCCCCTCTTTCGGATGCAGAATAACTCGGTCTCCGGAGGGATGACCCGGAGAAACACGTACGTGTGCAGCGAGAGAAACAGCACAGACAGGCACTCCGTCATCCAAAACGGCAAAGAGAACAGGTAATGAGTCTCTCCCCTCTGTGCTGAAATAGGTCCGAGTCAGACGCTAGGGCTGGGAACATCGTGTAGCTGCAGCACAGACCTCAGAACACAGGGCAGGGCTACAGCATCTGGAACAAAGTTGATTCCAGGCGGGTTTTTTTGTGTGGTGCATCTCCCACTTGTGTTCTGCAAGGGACTTGCCTGCTCATTTTTATTTGACTTGAGCTATGTGGTTGGTATTTTGGTTCTGGTTTGAATTGCATACATCTTGTGAGAGGATAAATACACTTATCATCTATGGTATTAGCATGATGCAGCATTTAAAAAAATACATATTTTGGATTTGGCACCCGCCCCATTACTGATTAATTAATTACAAGATTAGCTCTTGCTTTTTTTTTCTAGCTTTTTTTAATCTGAGAATCGAATTGAGATCCAACTTTACGATGTTACAAGTCCACAGCCTCAAAGACGTCTCTTCCAATATGATGTTTGTAAAATCCCATTTTTAAGATAGAGGTATCGGACTGCTCGCCTGGGCTGTGCTCATCTTGAAGCACATCCACCCGTACCCCACTGCCATGGCAGGCCCAGGGATAATTTTTCCCACTTTGCGTTTTTTCCATTTTTTTTTCCTCCCCTAATATCTTTCTTCATCCGGTTTCATGAATGAATTGCTTAAAAAGAGGGAGAAGGCAGAGTTAAAGGTTCCCCTTCCTCTTTCTTTTCCTCTGCTTCTCTGTGTGTGGATTTTTTGGGGGGTACTCATGCAGATTTCACTGTTGTGTTCACTTTCTGCCCGCC